CATGTGAAAATTAAAACAAAGCTGAGTAATGAATGCAAGATAATATAACATAAAAGTTTCTGTAAACAGTAATAATATGAAAATCAGGAGATAAGTAATATATTAATAAATATAGCAATAAGACTAACTAAATATTGTAATAAAACCAGATAATGAGCGATTTTTAGGCTGATCAGCATTTATTGTTAAAGATTCTCTGAGTTTAGTCTAAAAAATTTTAAAAAAATCTGAGGGAAGCAAAGAAACTTATATTTTTTACAACAAAACACCTTTTTTTGTATAATAACTTACTTTAATTGAAAAAAGAGACAACTTCGTCGAAAAACAAATTTTTACTGATTTATTTTGGAATCTATTACTATATATTTTAAGATTCTGTAAATTTATTAAAGAAAATGTTAAAAAAAAATAGAGGAATGCTAAGGAGCCTAAGTTTTTTTTAATAAAACACCTTTTTCTGTATATAAACTTGGTTATAATGAAAAAATAAGACAAATGCGTCAAAAAAAACAGGTTTTCACTTATTTCTTTTCAGAACTTTTGTTAAAATTATTCGAATATCTGAATTCAACAAAATGAGAAATTAGACATGAGGGAAGCAAAGGAACCTAAGTTTTTTACAACAAAACCCCTTTTTTAGTATAATAACTTACTTTAATTTCAAAACCAAGACAAGTGCGTCGAAAAACAGCTTTTCACTGTGTTCGTTAAAAGTCTATTGTTATATATTTAGATTTCTGTGGGTTAATTAAGGAAAATGGTAAAACAAGCCAGAGGGAAGCAAAGGAATCTAAATTATTTCCAATTAAACTCCTTTTTCTGTTTAATAACTTAGTTAAAAATGAAAAACAAGACAAATGCGTCAAAAAAAAAACTTTGCACTGATTACTTTACAACTTTTTTAGAATATTTTAAGATATTCTGTGGGTTTTTTTAACTAAATGGTAATATAAACATGAGGGTAGCAAAGAAACTTAAGTTTATTACAACATAACCCCTTTCTCTATATATAAACTTAATTAAAAGTGAAAAAAAAGACAAATGAGTCAAAAAAGCAGCTTTTACTAATTACTTGTCAAACCTTTTGTTGAAGTTATCAGAGATTCTGTAGATTTATTCAACAAATTGGTAAAATAAACATTAGGGAAGCAAAGAAACTTAAATTTTTTGCATAAAAATACCTATTCTTGTATAATAACTTACTTAAAATTAAAAAAAAAGACAAATGCGTCAAAAAACAGCTTTTCACTTATTTTCTTTTGAAATCTATTGTTATATATTTTGATTTCTGTGGGCTAACTAAGGAAAAAGGTATGATAAACCAGAGGGAAGCAAACGAATCTAAGTTTTTTGCGATAAAATTCCATTTTTTGTATTATAACTTAGTTAAATATAAAAAAAGACAAATGCGTAAAAAAAACAGGTTTCCACTTATTACTTTTCGAGTCTTTTGTTATATTTTTAAGATTCTGTGGGTTTATTCAACAAAATGGTAAAATATATACGAGTAAAGCAACGGAACCTAAGTTTATTACGACAAAACCCTTTTTTTTGTATAATAACTTATTAAAAATTAAAAATAAGAAAAATGCGTGTCAAAAACAAGTTTTCACTAATTACTTTTCAAAACTTCTGTTAATATTATTAGAGATTCTGTGGGTTTATTTATTAAAATAGTAAAATAAACATAAGAGAAGCAAAGGAACCTACCTTTTTTACAACAATATTTTTTTTTTTTATATAATAACTTACTTCTAATGAAAAAAAGAAATGCGTCAAAAAAACAAGTCTCTACTGATTATTTTTGAAATCTTTTGTTATATATTTAGTAATTCTATGGATTTAATAATAAAAATGGCAAAATAAACCTGAAGGAGGTAAAGGAAATTTAAATTTTTTCCGACAAAACCCCTTCTTCAGATTAATAACTTAAATGCGTCAATAAAACAGGTTTCCATTGATTCCTTTTTAAATCTTCTGTTATAGTTTTAGAGATTCTGTGGATTTTTTAATAAAAATAGTAAAACAAATTATTATTATATTTTTTTAAAATAAAGTATTTATCTTTTAATAAAAAATAAGTTGTTTTTTAAATGAAAAAACACCACCATCTACAAATGATCTCAATTTTGCTCTGACACCTCTGAGGGAATCAAAGGAACCTATGTTTATTACGACAAAACTTCTTTTTCTGTAAAATAACTTTTTCTGTAAAATAACTTAGTTAAAAATGCGTCAAATATAAATGTTTTTTCTGATTTTTTTCGGAATTATTAGATATATTTTTATAAACTCTGTAGCTTTATAATAAAAAAGAATAAAACAAAACGGGAAGCAAAGGAACTTAAGTTTTTTACAACAAAAACCTTTTTTCTTTATAAAAAAATACTTAAAACTGAAAAAAAAAAGACAAATACGTCAAAAAAACAGGTTTGAACTGATTTTAGAATCTATTGTTAGAATTTAGAGATTCTGAGAGTTTATTAAAGAAAATGTTTAAATATGCTTGAGAAAAGCAAAGGAAACCTAAGTTTTTTACAATAAAACGCCTTTTTCTGTATAATAACTTAGTTAAAAATAAGCAAAAAAGACAAATGCGTCAAAAAAAAGGTGTACACTGATTTAATTTGAAATTATTAAAAATATTTTTATAGATTCTGTAGACTTTTTATAAAAAATAGTGAATTAAACCTATGGGAAGCAAAGGCACCAAAGTTTTTAACAAAAAAAACCCTTTTTCTGAATTAATAACTTAGTTAAAAATCAGAAATTAGAGAAATGCTTCAAAAAAAAAAGATTTTTACTGACTTTTTTTTTTCAAATCTTTTGTTATGTTTTTTAGAGAATTTGTGGGTTTATTAAACAAAATGATAAAACAAACGTTAGGGGAAGCAAAGGAAAGTTTAATACGACAAAACCCCTTTATCTGTATCATAACATAAATTTGAAAAATAAGACATATGCGTCAAAAAAACAGGTTTCCACTGACTTCTTATGCAATCTTTTGATATATATTTTAAGGTTCTGTAGCTTTTTTAAAGAAAATGGTAAAAAAAATATGAGGGAAGCTAAGGACATGACAAAACCCCTTTTTCTGTATAAAAACTTTCTTAAAATTAAAAAATAAGACGAATGCGTTAAAAAAACAGGTTCCAATGATTTCTTTTATAATCATTTGTTATATTTTTAGTGATTCTGTAGATTTATTCAAGCAAATGGTAAAAAAAACATTAAATCAAAAAACCAAAGTAACCTAAGTTTTTTACGACAAAGCACCGATTTCTCTATAATAACATACTTAAAAATAAGACAAGTGTTTGCAATAAACAGGTTTTCACTCTTTTCTCTCGGGAACTTTTGTAATATCTTCAAAGCCTCTGTATGTTAATATAAAAAAAAGTAAAACAAACTTGAGGGAAGCAATGGAGCATAAGTTTATTACGACATAACCCTTTTTTCTCTACAATAACATACTTAAAATTATAAATTTTTTTTTTTTTTTTTTGTTAATTTTTTAGGTGCCCCAAGAAGTCCTTGCGGTCTTATCACAGAGCACTGCGAAAGAGCGTTTAATAGGAAGTTCACGCCTCCTTCCCAACCGATGTCGCAAAACTTGCCCAGAGGTGGGGTTTGAACCACGGATCTTACGTTTCTGAGGCAAGTGCGCTACAACTGCGCCACGGCTGCTCAAAATAAGACAAATGCGTCAAATAAACAGATTTTCACTGATTTCTTTAAGACTCTATTGTTATATTTAAAGAGATTTTGTGGGTTTATTAACACAAATAGTAAAATATACTTTAGTGAACCAAAGGAACCTAAGTTTTTTACTACAAAACCACTTTTTTTCAATAATAACTTAGTTAAAAAAGAAAAAAAAGACAAATGCGTCAACAAAACTGGTATCCACTTAGATCTTATGGAGTTTTTTGTTTTAATTTTATATATTTTGGTAGGTTTATTACAGAAAATGGTAAAACAAACCTGAAGGAACCAAAGGAACCTAAGTTTTCTACAAAAACCTTATTTTTGAATAATATCTAACTTTAAATTCTTTTGGAATCTTTTGTTATATATTTAGAGATTCTGTGGATTTATAAAAGATAATGCTAAAATAAACCTGAAGGAAGCATTGAAAAATAAGTTTCTTTTGTTAAAACCTCTTTTTCTGTGTAAAAGCTTAGTTAAAAATAAAAAATAATTTCCGCTGATTTTTTATAGAATTTTTAGTTATACTTTTAAAGATTCTGTGGGTTTATTAAAGAAAATTGTAAAACAAATTTGAGAAAAGCAAAGGAACACAAGTTTTTACAACAAAACCTGTTTTCTGAATTATTATTCAGAAAACCATGTTCACACTAGCGATGTTCGGCGGAACATTATTCCGGAACAAATGTTCCTGGAACAAAATGTTCCACAAAATGTTACTTGTAGAGTTCACATGTAAAATTGGCTTGACGGTACATAAAAGAAAAATCGAGTAAAAAAACGGTAAGTAAAACCCGAATAAAAATTAGTGACAAACAGTTTGGCAAATACACATTGTTAATATAATTTATTATTTTTAATATTTATTCATTTATGAGAGGTAAAACTAAATGCAAATAACGCTGAGGGTTCAGCTAGCTCAGAGTTAGACAATAGAAACCCAACCCAAATAACCCGTCATACAAAAGGTGACGTTGGAATTTTGTTATCCCGTTTTTTGGCTTTTATGGATAGGTCATATCTCCTTTAGTCGCTTTTGACGACACAGAATAGTAGTCCATCAGTGGTATAGTACCGAACAAACATATTATACATTAATAAGTTACCCACGACTAGTTAAAACTAATCTCATTTTGTGTTCATACATATTTAATATTTATTTATTTTGACACATTTGATAACCTCAAGGAAAGTAAGTTTAGTTCAAAACTACTAAATACATAACCATATTACAGCTAAAGCTTTAAATAATAAATAATATTATTACTACTTTACTTGTCTCTTTCATAGAGTTATTTAGCAATTGAGTCACGAACATTTTTTCCTGGTCCATTGTTCCCAGTTGTAGAAAATGTATTGAGTTGAGCTAGATTGTCATCATGATGATGCATAAGCCTTTCTATTATAATAATATCGTCATAATATTCACAAATGTTGTGAAGAGTGACGCAAGCATTAACAATTCTTGTAGCAAAGTTAATATCGCATTCCATACGTTTGCAAGTTACACAAAATCGAGCTTTAACGCGCCCAAAAGCATTCTCAACTACTCTTCTAGCTCCGCAAAGTATTTTATTGAAATTTTTTTGAATTTCACTAAGCTCCAAATTTTCAGGATAAGGTTTTAACAAATGATGCGTTAAAGGAAATGCTGAATCACCTATCAAACATAGCGGAACAAGAGAATCGCCCAGCTCTTTACAACATTTATCAAATAGATTTAATTCTAAAATAGCTTTCAAAGAAGAATTCTGCAAAATATAGCTGTCATTATTTCTACCAGGCGATCCAACACTTGTATAAATGAAACGGTATCGACAGTCTACAACGGCAAAAAGTACAATGGAATATCACCCTTTATAATTATAATAAGAAATTGCTTGATCTTTAGGGGCTGAAATAGGGATGTGGCATCCATCAACAGCTTCAACGCATTGTGGAAAACCAAGAATAGCTTCAAAACCTCTACTATGTTTATTTAAATTTTCCACTGACAATGGAAATTTAACATATTTAGGGAGCAAAATGTTATTAACAGCATTAATAAATTCATGAACAATTATATTTGCTGTTGACTTTCCTATGCCAAAAAGGCTAGACACAACACGATACTCTTCCCATGAAGCTAGATAATGTAATGCAACTGCAACACGTTTTACTTCTGAAATAGGTTCTCGCATAGTTGTGGTAGTTTTGCCTAAATGTGGATGCAATTCAATAACTAGGAAATTAAATGTGTTACGATTTACTCGAAAATGCTCTTTAAATTCACTCCATTTGAGTAAAAATGTCATTAAACCATTGAGAACTTTTCGGCCTAACCCAAACTTTTCTTTCAATCAGATACCCTTGTTGGTTTAACTTAAAGGAAGCTAAATCTAAATATGAAAATGGGTGGGTGATTGATTCATCATTGATTAATGTTCTACTTTTTGATCGAAGTACGGCAAAAACGCTTTCCATGTTTTTCCAATAGATTTTTCCTTTACAGGTGTCTCCCTAAAAAGCTATTAAAACTATATAAATATATTAAATAAATATAATACTTATTATATTACAATTCAAGGGAAATTAAAACACATTTTTAAAACCATTTTGTTAGAATTGATTCAGCATGATCTGTGAACAAAAACAAAATGAAATATGTAATGCAATTTGTATAAATTAAAAACAAAACACGTTGGCAAAAAACATATCACTATAATTCATCTACAGGCTTGCTTCATATCGCAAAAAAAAATTTTTTTGTAAAAATACTAATATATAGCATAGAGATACAAAAAAAGGTATTTATAAAATAACATGACAAATTTAAAAAATACCACCAGATATGCATTTTAATGCTTGAAATCACAAAATATTTTTATTTTACATAAAGTAAAAATTCCTTTGATAATAGTAATATGGTAACATGAAAAAATATATATAAATAGAGCTTCATCTACAAGCTATTTCACTAACCATCTCTTTAGTTAAAAAATTTAAAAACCTTATGAAATACATATTTATAATATAACGTATAACATTAATCAAATATCTTTAAATGGACAAACTATTATTAACAAAATAATTATTAACAAAATTAACGAATTATTAACGAATAATAAAATAACGAATTATTAACAAAATAATTATCAACGAGCTGTAAATCTTCAGTACAGTCATATCAATACAGTCAATCAATAATATATATTCTGAATAAAGGTCTTACTTTCAAAAATATTCACAACCAGTAAATTAACTAATATTAAGTAAATACAAAATATTCATGAGGAAAATACTAATGGCAATGTTCACAAATTAAAACAACAAGATAAGACAAAGCTAATATAATAAAATATATATGACATATAAATAAAATGTATGACAAAGCTCATATATAACAATATATACCAATAATAATATCATTAATAATATTAATATAAATAATAATAACAATAATGATAATAATGATAATAATATTAACAATTTTTATTGTTGTTATTGTTATCATTATTATTACTATTATTTTTCTATTATTATAGTTATTATAATAATAATTGTTATTATTTGTATTATTATTCTTACTGTTGGCGAGGCCAATGATAGACAACTCTGCTTATTAGTTCAAAATTGAATTTTATAAATAAAATTACTATAAGTTTATTAAAAATGCATTAATAGCAATGCTTGCAAAGAATATAATTAAATAAAAACTATTAAACAATGAAAATTAAACTTTCTTAACGCAAGCTAAATGTTACCTTGAATTATACTTCTTGTTAATTCAAATTAAAACTGATCTTAATAAGAATAATACTGTCTTTGTAATGTTATATTTTAAGATTAAGTTTTAAAACACACATATATAACTTCTTTTTAAATTAATAATACACTAATAATTAAATTTCTATTCTATTTATACAAATTTTAAATATCGTTAAAAATAACTTGAAATTTGTGATGGTCAAATAATTTTTTTTTAATAATTGCCCACCATCTGGTCTACTCAAGATCCACACGAGTGGGATCGGAATTTCCTTGGTTGCATGAAATTACCACAAGTTTTTACTCAATGAATAAAGATATGAAATTATATTCAAAGAAATGTTTTGAATTCAATAAAAAAGATGGAAGGCAACAATTCAAGGAAACATGTTGAAATTCAAGAATTCAATAAAAAAGATGAAAGGCAACAATTTCAAGGCAACATGTTGAAAGGCAAATAGTATATCGATAATCTTGTCTTGATATATGACCAAGACCTAGGACAATGCAGAGATCAAGGACTAAAAACTCTGGTTAAGATGACAACAACTTTGTAAAAAAAATAGTTTGAGTTACTTTCACAACAAATTTGCATCTTGCAATGCATTTTTATTGAATCATTTAGCTTATATGCATACGCTTATTTTAAAAATAGTTGAAAATTGGCACCATTTTTTATACAAAACTAAATAAATTTTCTGGAACATTTATTTGTTCTGAGTTGGCGGGACGGTACAAAAGTTTCATGAATGCTCCTTGAATTTTTGTTCCATTTGCGTTCACACGAGAGGATATTTGTTCATGTTCCATGTTTCACGGAATGTTCCATCAAATGAACCCTCGTGTGAACAGCCTATAAGGCACGGTCGTTCACAAGCGCTATGTTTAGGTACGCATGCGTGAGAAATTGCGTGAGAAAAACTTTTCAACTTTTATAATGGCTACGGTTCTTAACTACAGAGTTTATTTTATACGGCAACTGTGTTATTTATTATTTGATCTCTAAAAACTCAATGTTATAGCCTTATTTTTGTGTAGATCAGCAAATTATTACGAAAATTTCACAAAAATATAAATAAAAAAAAGATAAAAATTTTCATAGAGTACTTAAGCTTTATTTTTAATTCACAACTTTTTAATGAAACTCATAGATTTGTTTATTTATTTGAAATCAGTTTTCTTAAAATCTGACTGTAGGTTTTCAATAATTTTTTTTTAAAACTTCAGATAAATATGTTCTATATTTATGATATTTTTCTGGTTAATGCTTCAACTTTTTTTCAATATATAAACTTGATTTATATATATTTATATATATATATATATATATATATATATATATATATATATATATATATATATATATATATATATATATATATATATATATATATATATATATATATATATATATGTATATATATATATATATATATATATATATATATATATATATATATATATATATATATATATATATATATATATATATATATATATATATATATATATATATATATATATATATATATATATATATATATATATACCCAGTGGGCACGGGACGTATAAAAGACGTTCTTAGGACATTCAAATTGGGTCCGTCCGTCCCATTAAAATTCTAAACGTCTTTTGAACGTCTTTTTTGCGTCAAGTAAGTTTTTTGTCCAAAATATATCCAGAATGCTTTATTAAGTCAATTTAGTTATATTACGCAAGCGCTAAAACTTCCTAAAATTTTTAAGTGAAGCATTTCTAATAGAGTTTTTTTTCTATTACAAAAGAAGTCTTTTTACAACGACTAATAGTCACGTTTTAGCTAATTTTTATTTTTGTTATCAATTACTTGTATAGTATTGCTATATCAAGAACCTAGTATAGTATTGCTATATCAAGAACTAAGTTCTAACAATTTCAAAGATTTAAACATCTCATGCAGAATCGAATTTTTCAATAGGAAAACCTGTTAATGATACATAGAACAATTATCCTGATAATTCTTTGAATTCAATGTCTTTACTCGACAACATTGTGCTATTCTATAATGGGACCAGTACATTAGTTAATGATCTTATTAAAATATTGCCAAATCAAGATTTGGAACTTCCCATAGATGCAAGGAGAATTTTAAAAACATCTAATGAAAAGCGACTTATAGACAGGTTCTTGCTTATTTATGTATATATATATACTTTTAAACATACAATTACTTGTTAATATTGATACAGATATTGAAATTGAAACAGATATTAAAAGAAATAGTTAAAAACTGGGTATATGGTATACTATAAATATACTAAGTATATACATGGCACTTGATATAGTATTTTAAGTATAATAATTGAAACACTATACCAAGAACCAAGTTCTGACTGTTTGAAAGACTTAGAAATCGCAGAATCTCATGCTTAGTCATATAATTCAAAAGGAAAACCTATTAATAAGACAGAGAGTTTATGCTGATAATTCAATATCTTTAATTAACAACTTTTAGATTCGAAATAATTAGACCAGTGCATTATTTGAAATAATTGGACCAGTAAATTAGTTAATGAACTTTTTGAATTATTACAATATCAAGGTTTGAACTTCGCTAATAACTAATTTCTTAACTTTAGTAATTAGTTATTAGTGAAGTTCAAAAGTTTTCACTAAAAAATGTCTTATTAAAAAAATTGAACCAGTCGTAACAGTTGTATAAGAGAAAGGAGGGTAAAAAATTTCCTTTACATTAAAGGAAATTTTCTACCGACCTGTTTTTTTTTGTGACTTATCCTACTCTTTTATTATTTTCTTCTTAAAGTTCAATATGAATAATTTTTATTAAAATCAATATTTATATTTATTATTTGATAAAATTTATATTTTAGTAACTTATCCAACTTAAATAAGAATAATAAAAAATGTTTTAAGTTGGATTTGATTTAATATTTTTTGAAATGATTTTTTTATAATGATTTTTTGAAAATTTATGGTTTTAGTTTTAGTATTTAGTAAAAAATATATAACACAGCATAAATATTTAAATCAGAATTTTAGTGGATCTATATAGGCAATTTAGGTAATTGCAGTTTTAGTAATCATTTATTTGTTACATTATATAATGTAATCATTCATATCATTATATAATGTAGTTATTATATAATGTAATCATATATAATTAATCATTTGTTTCAGTATATAATGTAATCATTCATTAATTGCAGTTTTGGTAATCATTTATGGTCCATTAATGGCAGCAGCCAAAAGTGGCTAACAAAAGTGGCTAAAAGTAATATGTTAGTTTATAATAATTTTTCTGTTTTTATTTAAAATTTATTGAAAAAATGATTCTGTTTTCAATGTAGTTATTTTCTCATTCATTTTGCTTATTTTTTCTTTTAAAAGATTGTCTTTCGTGACCAAATCTCTTTAAATATTAAAAAAATGTCTCCTAAAAATCCTTACATTTAACGTCAGTTTTAATAATGTAAACCCTGATTTTGTTTTTGCTAAAAATGCAAAATACATGTCAATAAATAAAACAAAATTGAGTTTTGTTAAAATT